GCACAAGTATTTCGCGATGTGACGATACACGTTGACAGAATTGACGCGTAATTGTACGCTATATACTGTTGCTTCGCGGGCCATAATGAAGCCTTATTATTAACGATCGCCCGCGGCAGATCGCGCCGATGGTTTCACACGCTGCGAGAGAGTCCTCCTTTCAACATGCGCCCGGGCGCGCGAAACCTTTATCGCTCTTCTGAAAGAATATCGAGCTCTCCTTTCGAGGCGACGTGAAAAGAGAAGTCGGGCCCCAAAGAAACCTGAATTGGTTCATCGCCGCTATACTAACCGCGGTAGCGTCCAGTAGCGACGCGTCATGCGAGCACGCTGATATTATGACGCGGAACGAGCGTTTAGCACAAAATATATCGTGAGCAATGTGCAAAATTTAAAAAGAATTATTTCTTATTCCGTGCCTTTGCATCTTTTCATAATTCTTTTTTACGGATATGTAATATCAATATAATACATTAAAAACACAATTTCGTTTCATACAATTGAAAAGATTTTCGAACAAATGTTACAGGATAAATATAGGTGTATCGTGACTTTTAGACGTACAGATAATTATATGTTAAAGAATATTGTCATACACAGCAAATTTATTGCTCACAATTTCTCGTATATTTCTTCAATTAATATGCAAAATACAATGAAATATCATAACCAATACGTTTTACGTAAAATAATATATACTTCTGATTGATGGAGAATGATATCGAATGAAAATATCTACATTCTGAGATTTAAAAGAGAAATTCTTACGGCATATCATTGCTTCGCGCGGTCGTTTTCATGCGAGACTTGCCTTGGCCGCTATGTAATTAGACGGACGGATTTAGTGTTCCGAGAACTAATGAGAGGCCATCGCTATTATTCCTGGACTACTGCGTGAGAGGCTGAACGATATGTAACAAAAATATTATGATACTTAAATCGCATTATTAATCGCGTTACTAGTCTGTGGCTTCGTTTTTTACTTAGCGTAGATATTATATTGTCGTGAGTTTTACAGATAGAATTTACAGATGGAATTTAAAGATAGAATTTTACAGATAGTTTTACAGATAGAATAGGGAGAAATAATAATAGGAATAATTAAATTTTAAAGAGATACATAATTAATTTTCATTAATTTAATATTTATTTTAACCATATATTTCTAAACAAGAACAAAAAACAATATAAAGCATGTAATTCATAAGACCAATGGAAAAAGTATATTTTTATTTATTTAAACAAGTATCGGCAGCAAGTAAAAATAATATAAGAAATATTTATACATATAGAATGTTGGTAAAAGAAAAGCGCAAATATAAATGTTTGAATCTTGATATACATTTATGTATTATATTTTTAAACTCTCCGGATAACTGCGATAAATGTGAATAAATGAAAACGTCTAATACAACGAAAGATAAGAAGAGGGAGTTTCTTGAATCGGTCAAATTGGGGAATTATAAATTTATGACCATGGGCGATGACACGCCTCTCGAGGAAAACGCCCTGACCTGGTGTTAGGAAGGTTTATGCTCCTTCAGTCGGTTTTCATCGTCCTTCTTTCCTCTCTTTTTCTATTGCGAGTGGACATCCCGCGATCTTTACGGTTCTTTGAACGGGACGGTGATGTCCGCTACAATTTCAAGGCATACCATTGTCCTTAAATGGTGCAAACAGGAACAACGGGTGGTCCAGCTTCGTTGACCCATTGCTTCCCTACCCCCTCTTCGTTGTCCCGAAAGAAAAGTCAAAGCTGTCGAAAAGCTTCCAAATCTTTATGGCCACCGGATTTACAAGAGGCAGTGAAAGCAATCCCTTGTAGGCTTCTGAAGGGCGTGTAAACGTTCTAAAAGCTAATATTCTTTCCCTGATTTATGTGCGGGGGCGGTTACGCGCGCTAAATGTCCATTTGTCCGCGAACCTCTGACAAATTGGCACTTATTATTGGATTTTCTTTGAAGAAAAGGGAAAATGGAGACACAGTTGGGTGAACGTACGGAATAAAGCGACAGGGTGTATGTCAACTTGCGGTTTCTACGCCAGATTTGACAAATCGTTGTGCTAGGCTTTCTTTCATTGTTTTTTTTATTCACTTGTCATTACCTGATTGATATTGAATTGAATATGTTGTAAATTGACATATATAATTATAATTTTTTTACGAGAAGATTATAAGAAATGTAACTTTGATGTATAATTATTAAAATAGTAGATATTTAAAATTACATTACATTAAAATAAATTTTTACTTTGTTCGGCACACAGCATGTGATTTCAACAAAATCAACGAATCGATAAACGAGAACTTGTAAGAACTGTTCATCACTTCCTTGCATTTTATAGTCGTGTCTATACATCCTCTAATTATATTTATAGCTATGAAAGTAAATTTATCTATACACACATATATTTTATATGCCTCGGCAAAAATGTATGCCCTTTTCCTTGGCGATGCGTGGTATTAAAGACCAAAGCCTCAAGAGGTATTGGACTAGTTACGTGCTGAAAGCAGAAACATCGCACTACCCAATCTTTATTACTGTTCCCTGTTCTATTATTTCGCGCTGATTAGCCGTCTTAAGTTCGGGGGGCCTCTCGGGCCCCGTCGAAAGGCAGCGGACGTTATAACTTCCTGATGTGTGGCGCGATGAAAAAAAAAGCGTGAAAGAAAGCGAGACGGCGCGCGGCGGCTGAATCAGTACTAGCGCTACTTTGATCGAACTCAGGTCACAAAGAGCTCGCCTCGTCACCGGTTGAATAGCCCCGGCTAGAAGGAGGTTGGATTAGGTGAGGCTAAGTTACGAGGGTGGAGGGGCCCCTAGCAGCAAGACGGCGTCTTGAATGGGGCACGTGCTACCGTCGTCGTGATCTTTGGGCCCTACGTCTGGCGATCTGTCTCTCTCTCCTTCCCTTCCGTTTGTCCGTTTGCTTGCCCGTCCATCTGATCGTCTAGAGACGGATCTAGGTCTAGACTAGGGAACTCCTCGATGTTTCTTTTGGTTCGCTTCGCCAGCTGCTCCGCCAAAGTTGCGATTCCCGTGGCACGTGTCTCTCTCGCGCGTGTACGGATCTTTTTATGTGCAAACCGGGCCATCCTCCCGGCAACGGTGACCATGACGGATACGTAGCGTAGCGATTTCGCTTTTTGATTACACCATCTGATTCGGTATCTTGCGCATCTCGAGATGCGCAAGAAATTGGTAATTGCGGTACAATTAACATTATTCGGTGGAAATTTCAATGTAAAATATAGAAAACAAATTAATTTGAATACGACACAAGAGAATAAGCACAATGAATATATGTTATAATTAATGAAACAATTTTTACTTGTACTATAATACATTTTTTAAGTAAAATAATTAATTATAGATTATTTAAGAGCCAAGACAATTAAAAGTTATTTATGGTAGATATTTCATGCTTCATGTTATTTATTTCATCTTGCATTAATTGGCTTTATTTGCAATAATTTATTCTCTTAGCAAATACCTAAAATTCTCATTCAGATGTAAAGGCAGAGATCGCACGCATAAGCGCTACATTGTTTTAATGCATTGTTTTGAAGGCTCTAATTACTGATATAAACTTTCGAGCAACTACACAGATCTTTCACATAGGGCGCAGCTTGTATGCACCGCAAGACGTACCGTCTCTCATCGAACGATGGCGGAATCGCTCGGCAAGTCTGTGGTGCGGGAGAAAAAGAGTCGTGCGAGGGGGTGCTCGCGTGCCGAGACGCAAATGCGTGCGCGCTACGCATCTGTCTCCTCTAGGGCAGGCGCATACACGCACACGCGCTGCTCGCGCGCATATGATCGCTACGCGGAACGTATTTATACGTATGACGCGTGCACGTAATCCAGCCCCTAGGCATCCGTACGTACGTGCGTGCATGCGTGCGTGCGTGCGTGCGAGCTCGGGCACGCAAGAGAGCTTGTGATATATTGTGCACATATACAATAAGGTCGGTACATCCAGCCCCTGGTTGCTATGCTACTGGTAGGTGCGTATGGCGATCAAAGGGTTACGGCGTAGAGTGCGTTGGTATTTCTTCACACTGACATGCTCTGTCGACAGAAATCGCAATCCTGAATAGATACTTTCGTTTACCACGACGTTCCGCGACAGCCGCTGAAATGCAATAAATCGGCCGATAACAAATTGCCGCCGAGCAGCAGTCTACTTCGATGCGATAACCGGAATTGCGTGGGGATTTATGATCGAATGGTATCTGTGTAGCAGGCCATATCGAAACTTACGATTCTGCTACGTTGTCCTTGGAATTTCAAACTTAGATCCGCCTTGTTAGATTTGTTAAGTTATAAATAATAACATAAATAATAATACTATTGTGACATTATGGAGATTACATAAAAATTAAACAAATTGTTTTACCAAAGAAAGTATTAATATTGAAATATAATAATAGGATAAACGAGATTGGTAAACAGTATTTAATTCTTTACACATTTTTAACTTAAAATTTGTATTGTAATTATACGCAGAATCGATTTTTCGTTAAACAACTGTTGAAAATTTTAATTGTGAAAATATTAAATTTTAGACGCAACATAAAATGACAGATGTGCGTGGCGCAGTATTAGATTTCTATAGCATTGAATATATTATCGTAGCGCATTGAAATGTTAACTAGCATTGCCGTTACATTAGCCCGCGTAACGGCAATATTGGAATTTCTTTATAGCATTGACGTATCGCAAACAAACTTCGTATCGAACACCACCGCCGTCATAACATCGCTAATAAATCAGGAATAATACAGCCGGTGAAACAAGTCCAATCTCTCAAAACTACTTTCACTTCATTGTATTTCCCGTGCAAGCTGTGTTAATGTTTGTGTCTCTGGTTGAGTAATTGTTTCAAGTGGTCGTTTTGCATCTCGTTTAGAATTTTGGATCTAACGTCTCTATTCCAAATTGTCTCTTTGCTAGCACAGAGATCTCCTGTTATGATATTCGCAAGATTAACTGATTACGTACTCGTTCGCTTCGTCCACATATCTGACAATTAGAAATTTTTATTTTTATTTTTATTCTTCCTTGTATATCGTGTTTGATAGTGATTGCAGATTATGTAGAATTTTGATAACGTCATAATCAAAGATATTGATCGAGATATGACATAAAATTTCAAGATTGTGATAACAGAATATTATATTTAATTCAACGATTTATGTATAACAATGGAATAACTGGAAAATGTAACGTTAGGAACTTATGAAATAGTAAAAGATTTGTTGAGAGAGAGAGTTTCGATAACATCTAAAAATCATAAAAGTTATCTGTGCCTTTTTCAATTTTTCTTATTGCTCAAATCAAACTTTATGATAAAAATTGATATAGAATTTAATTAGTCAAACTTACATGTCATGAAGTAATAATTCGAATGCAGAAGCTGCTTATTGTTCACGTTTAACATTTGGTGTTACAATATAAAGATGTTTGTTAAGGAAACAATTGTCAATACTTTCCTGCAAAAACAGGAAATATAAGCTTAATACATTTCGCTGAATTATATAATCCGTACGACACAAAAGCAGGAAAATGATAAATATGATAATCCTTTTGGTTCGATAACGCGTATAAAAGCGGATTGGAGTTTGATTGAAACATCATTTAGACGGGCGAGAAAGGTGTTAATATAACGATACATCTTTTCTTTTTCAACATCTCGAGCTGACTTGACAATAGACGATGAGGGGTAAGCGCTTTACGTATCTCTGTAATAAAATTAAAACGATATAATACATGACGAGAGCTTTCCATCGATTTGAATAAAAATAAGTGATATTTTTCTGATTGTAATAAAAGTCATTGCAATCTGTTTGTGCTACGATTGACACCCTAGCACTAATTTTATTGGATACAGGAATATACGTAATTGCCATCGCTATCCTGGCATGTTGGACTGAAGTTACTGCGAAGGAATATCAACCTGAACAGTCAATTCCGAAGGAACCTGAACAGTCAATTCCGAAGGAACAAGATTACATTCCGATAAAATGCCCATTCCCAGAGGACGACAAGACCACCAATATCGCACATGAATCCGATTGCACCAAGTTCTACAAATGCAATTTCGGTAAAGGAGTCTTACAATATTGCCCTCTAATGAACGTCGGAGACCCGCATACGAGATTGCACTTCAATAGACGCGAACAGGTCTGCGATTGGCCGTCGAGAGCCGGTTGCGAACATTGTCCCTTAAAGGAAAAGGGCTATTGGCCGCGGTCCAAAATATCTCACGAAACAAATTGTCGCATGTATTACTTATGCATAAACGGCAAAAAATATTTGCAACATTGTCCTCCTGGCACGTGCTTCAGTCGCACATGCCAGGGTTGTGTTAGAAATTGGGCGGGTGGAAATTGTAATTATTGATAGATACGCAGGATGGTGATAAAACCTCTCACGAATGTAACTGCGATATGTGTTATGATGATTATGGCTATTATTTACTGTCTTGTGATCTTCACTTTGATCGTACCAGTAAGAGATGCACTAATTCCTGACGTGGCTAAGCGATTCGATATGCTTTTCCGCACTGCAAAATTAGGAAGACTAACATATTCGTTCGAAAAATACCCAAAAATAATAAATACAACCAAAAATAATCTTGGCTGAGTGAGGCTTTACTTCGTAAAACTATGTGAAAGAGCCATGTTCGTGTCAGACTACCGAATACTAATTATCTAAATAAACTCAGTAGATAAAAGATTCCTTGGAATGATTTTATCCCTCTACAGAAGGATTGAAAGGGGGCTCATAATGAGCTGAAGAAAAATGAAGCGTACGCCACGAGTACACCGAGACAAATTTTCATCGGATATAAATATAATATTTCCGATGGTCAATTTTTCCGATTGAATTTTCCGGTTAAATTATTTCTTTGCGTTGGATATGTCCGAATGAAATTTGATGAAAAGACTGATCATGTTCTTCGTCGGATAATTACAATATTACAATTTAATCGGACGCCTTTCTCAGTATAATAGAAATATAAGCAAGCTTGTTTCCATCAACTCCATTTGTATTAAGGTAATATGAAGATATAGACATCTGAAGTAGGTAGATATTATACCCGAGGTTAAAAGGTGATTTTCGCGCGCTGCAGAGCAAAGGAGCGGTCTATTTTGCTGGAGCTGTTTTGTACTGACGTATTCTTACGAGCTGCCCGCCTGGCCCGTATCTCAGATGCAATCAGTTCCAACCGCGAAAGAATGAGTGGATTGCATGTCGGCTACCCGCGTTACCGCTTGTAACATGCGCGAATTATGTAAGTACCGAATCGCGCGCGTGTGCCAACGCGAGCGTGTACGCACTATTATTATTGTGCGATAGTGTATCTACATTAGACGATACATACCTATAGTGTCTATCTCACCTCTCACTTCTTTTCCTTTTCTCCGCATACTCATGCTTGATTTATGTGATACCCCGCGTGTTTGCCATAACTTAGGACGGAAAGCCTTAGAGCAGAATATCGAGAGACTTTTCGTGGATGTTTGTAATATCCACATTAATTAGGAGCCTGTGAGAAAGTGACAATACGGATTGGTAAAAGCCACAACCTTCTTGCCTCAATTTTAAGTTGTACTCTGATATAATCCAATATGGCGCAATTATTTCCTTAATTAAAATATGTAGTATGTGTGCATGTACGTATATCGGATAATATTTTTATCTGGAGCCGAATGCTCCAAAGATAGGCGCCGTTTATACGCGGTAAATGCGCGCGTCTTGCTTTTCGAGAGAACCGGCGTTTTACACCGCTACGGGATATTGGGTAGAAAAAGCGCTGGCAGTATAGCGAGTTTTACGACGAAACGCGTAACGGCAGTACATTTAAAAATAATTGCCGCCTCGATGGCAACGATTAATGCTATTGCCAGAATTAATTATTGTGGCGGTAGCTTATTAGATATTTTTATTACCGCTCGTTAAACGCGCGCACGCGAACGTGTACGAGAGACTTGCTCTCGGTACACATTCTCTGCAAATGATATCATTCGAAAGTTTATTTTTACCAAACGCACGTTTTGTTCAAGGGGCTAACACACAGCAAGCTAACGCTCGCTTATCGTTCCCGCTGACAGCTTTACAGTTTCGAGCCCCGTTGTTCCTAAGCCGGGGACGCTTGTATACACAAAAGGGACAAAAGAGGAAACAATTTAATTGTCAACGGAAAAAATGTTACTATTTCGTAGCGATAGATATAAACAGACACTACACCGGCGATCTCCGATAAGGCAAACGGCCATTTCTTTTTAATGACATTCGTTGCACCGTACGTCACCCCCTCTGTCTCGAGGCAATTAGTAGACGAACTTTTGTGATATCTCCCGCCGATAATCTCCGGCAACATGAGTAACGTTTAAGCGTTTCATAATGTTAAGAGGAACTTCTTTTTCTTCGCTATTGATACACTATGAAATTTGGACAAGTACCTTAGATTTGATAATTAGTTGATAGGAGAAAGAATTTGCGACAATGGAATAATCTCGCGCAACAAATGTGCCAATAATATTCATTTGTTTTGCAAGTAATATAACCTTAGTGGAATATAAACACGTTAGACAGTTATAAATAGGATACTCATAACTGCGGGCGTCGGGTTCGTTAAATGAATCAGCGCCACACTTCTCACGCATTAATTTAGTATTGTGTTTCTTCTGATAAATATCAGATGCGCACCTTTGTTTAATAAAGCGCGTTCAATCGCGTTTAATAAAGTTCACCTTTTTAAAATATATAAGAGAAAAGTTTAACTTTAGAATATATAAAAAAGGTCGAATAGATTTCTAATGATTCGTTAATTCTCCCGTGGTCGTTTATTGTTCGTACAAGCAGAGACTGGTTTAAAAGAAAATTAATGATACGCTCGATAAAGTTTCCGATAAGGAATCACGTCTCGCGACGATCTCACCTCTCGTGCAGATGGCAGCGTGAATCCGTTTATCGACGATCGTTGAATGGTGACGATGAGATTGAGAGCACCTTTCAATGCCAGTACACTTCGTATGACCAACACTCCACTTCACTTGGGACTCATACTATGCATTGTCTGACACTTTTCGAAATTCACTTTCCGAACGAGTTAGCTCCTCGCGTGAAAGGAGAACCGAAACGGCCACAGGTTGGTCGGCAACGTTTCGTTACTTGTGTTGTCGAGCCTTGGATAAGCTTATCTCTCATAAATTGTCCATCAATTTGCGCCACAGTCGCTCTTTCATAGTTTGCGTGAAAATAGTTACCGAGATACTTTCAACGATATCGCGAGTGAAACACATATATTTCAAGATATCCTCTGAGATATGCTTCTTGAACGTAGCGGAGTATAACAATCTTGTTTATACTACGGCACTTTCCACGGTCGTCGTGTCGCGGATCTATTGATCTTAAGATCGATAGGTAATTCGTAAATAGACCAATTCCGCGAATTTTCGATTATAACCATCGACCCGACATTGTATCATTCGCCTTGGAAACTCAGTTGTGACTATGACTTCTCGATATCTTGGAAGCCCTCTTCCTCGAGACTACTCTTCCACAAGTAATAATTTTCCATCCGTGATAGAAGCTAACGGTTGAAATGTTTTTTTCGATCGATACCCACGATTCGATTCGATCTGCCATCCAGAAGCGATCGGTATTGACGTTCTCTCTTCGCGATTTCTTTCGAAGATCTCGCTGATCCGGTCGTGCCCTGGCTGTTTCTAGGACACGTGATAGTTAAGCCACCAAAGATACCGAACGAGGTGCGCGCCGCGTCGTTGCGAAGTGCGATCTTGAAGCGGCTCGCGCAAAAACGACTGGATCAAAGGGGTTGCGCGGCAACAGGTGAGAGGAAAAGGGAGAGAGGGCGGAGTGGGAGGGATAGGTAGAACAATGAAAGGGGAGCGAGAAGGAAAGAGAGAAAGAGAGAGAGAAGACCCGGACGATGACGACGATAGTGGTGTTAACACCGCGCGTAGTAGCGGACAGTCGGCGACTAAGGCCCCTGAGGAGAAGTCTCACCTCTCTCTCCTTCGTCTCTTCACTCGTCCTCTCGTTCCTCTCTTCCGACGTGGTCTCTCTTTCCACCACACGCGTGGCCGCCGTCACACCGTCGTGCGCGCGCGTGCACCTCCGACACGTACGACGTACCCTCCTGTGCCTCCCCCTCCAATCTCGCTAACCCGCGCGGGCCACCCTCTCTCTCTCTCTCTTTCTTTCACGTCGATAGGATACATTTTTCATCGGGACGAATGCGCGGCCCAACTACAACAAAACCATTTGCAGATGCACACATGGGCGCGCATGATCGCGCGTGTGGGTACACCGGATTCGCGGCAGCGGCGGCGACGGTGGTGTCGGTGTACGTGTCGGTAGGAGAGAAGTGGGAGATGGGACACGCGACACGAGCCTTGGTAGGGAGAGAGAGGGTCAGCGGGAGTGGGGCACGCACGGTCTCCCCTCGTTCCTCCGGGTTCCCCCCGCGTGGGGCACCCTCTCCTCTCGCCGTGTCGGACGTCTTGCGCGTTCTCTCTTTTTCCACTCCATTCTCTCCGCTGGTCTCAGCCTCTCATTCGCGAATCGTACGCTTCTCCATCACCTTCGATCACGCGCGATACCTCGGATTTCTCGTGCGTTTCGTATCCGTACAGTGCCGTTTGGCTTGCAAAAAAGTTCTACTTTGGCTTCTCTCTCTCCCCCTTGATATGTACATTTACTTATGGAACCTCTCAATGTGCTTCGCGATAAAAATCTTAAAGATACGCTTTGCGCGGATCAACAACTTAATACTAACGTAAATCATCATCGGTTTAATTCATTATTTATAAAATTAATGTCATTGTATGATCTTTTTCAGTTATAAACTTTTATCAAGAATAAATAAATTGTGAAACAGGCATGAATTTGTATTATACAGTCTTTTGAAAAACATGTCTATCATAACTATGTGGGCAATGAATTTCGTACAACGTTTCATACACACACACACACACGTCAATACGAGACCACGGATTATAGCGATAACATTCTTATTAGCGAAACTATCGAGTGTTTCCGACAGTATGGTACAACATAATAATATGATTGTTTATGGACAATTTTATATGTATATAGTCTATTGTACTCACCGCTTTAAAATTTCGTTCTTCCTTTACGTGCATTGGATGTATCACCTCCACCATCATAAGAGAGTTTCATGTAGGTAGCAATTTGGTAATTTTTCTGGGGGACGGCATTCATTTCATAACATATCAAAACTTGACGAATTATCGATAATTTCTAGAATTATTTCAAAACTAGTAGCACACGGTATCCTTTTATATACAGTTTCTGCAGTCTCCTTTAAGGCTACGACAGCGCACTTGGATGAATAACGTTAACAATAAAATCTCCCACGTAAATTGGCTAATATGTATCTATACCGAGAGGAAACGTCAGCTGGAATTTTCTGTTTCTTCTATCGTAAATCGCACACGAACGAATTCGCCGACGTGTCCTCGAGCCGACGAGATTGGAAAACAAACCCACGCGTGTCAATGAACGAGAACCGACTAAGTGCCGACGACGATTTTCGTTGTCGACCATCTCTTGGGGTTGCAAAACTCACCTCCCCCCCGTTGTTCCCCTTCCGATGAGCGAGTCGGCGATGAGAGGGGTGGCGAGCATTCTCTCCCTCCGTTCCCACGCCACGTTCCCGATACTTCTCTTCGTCCCTTCTCCTCCACCGCCTCCTCGACGGCATCCTCGCTGCCCGACTCCTCCCTTAGAGACGCGCCCTTCTCCGGGGTTAGAGCGCACGTACTACTCTATTCTCCGCTCCTCTCGGAAGTCGTCCGCTACCGCCCCCGGCGCGTCCACCGGGGGTTGAGATTTATTCGCCGTGTCCCACGCTGCGCGCAGCTATACACCAAGTGATGTAATTTCGAAGCAACTGGTAGCGAGGCCTATACAGGGTTCTTTGCTTTCCCCACGCTTTGTTATAAAATATATGAATTGTAAACTGAATTCTGAATACCTATGCTGCAAATATCGCTTCAGTAATAATGAAGCATATAACATATTATACATCGCTGTACATTTTCTCAATATATAATGGAGTGACTATTTAAATTATTTTCACTTTAAAAGCAATGTATTTGAGAATCATTTGGAAGCGTCTATATTTTAAATGTGTTTATTCTATTATGGGTCTCGATTTATTAAAATTCTTGTTGAAGCTTATTTTATTGGCACAGCAACACAGCGTTAAATATTATGATTAATTCGTGCGGGAAATTTTGCAAGGGTAAACAGAATGAAAAAAAATGGATTTGGAGAAAAAGACTAAAAAACTGGCGCTGTAAAGGGAGAATAAGATATGTCGAGCAAGAGAAGAGAAGTGAAATAAAAGTGCTACGTTATATACGAATGATTGAATCTGGGCGTGAGTTCGCTGCCAGTCACGGCCAAGCATCGATGTTTTAATTAATGTATCGATAGTGGAGCCAGACACGGAGTTTATCCGGCATCATCTCGTTTGACGTATCGAGACCGGCTCTCTCAAAATATATTACGTAGAAGCTTCGCGGGTAATAATTAGGTGGATTGTAGCTTTTAACATAATGATTTTTCCGTGCGCTATGTAATATTTCGTTTTAATTAGTGCAGGTAATGCGCAATTAATTTCAGTGCTGAATAAGTTATCTCTTGTGAGCAATTAATATCACGTCACATAAATTTATATCTTTTTTTAAATATTTCAGATTAAATATTTTGTCAAGTGAATTGTTATTAAGAAACGGATTAACAATTTGAAGACTTATCAGGAGCGTTTTAAATAAACAATAAAATTATCTGATTGCAATTTAGAAATTAATATTATGCATTTCTGAAACGTTGCATATTTACGATCTCGCAAAGCATTCTCATTTCGCAATAATAAGTTCGAATTTGTGAGGATGATTGCGAGAGAGTCGTGAAATAATCTGATTGACATATTAGATACGCAGCATAAGTATCGGTGATCGCTTTTGTGATACACGAGCGTGTATCTAGTGATAAGTGTTTACTACGAGATTACGCATAAATTAAACATCACCACATGTAACGATAACTTTCTTTCGATCGCCATGATTCGGAATATGTAATAGCACACGCTATTCATATGATTGATAAATCGATAATATACAAGATGAATACGTAATATAATATAAACAGCTAATTGGTTATTATATAATATATGTTAATAATACTCATCACAATAAGCTCGCAACAATCGTTATTATCTATTATATCAATTGTTGTGAATGATTTTAAATATTTGACATTAGTGTAATGTTACATGTCAATGTTATTTCTTTTAATTATGTCAACTTGTAATCATACATTTAAAAAAGTAAAATATCTACCGTACAATTATTTTTACGAAAATATTTTTGTACTCGTGGCTAATTTGAAAGCTGAGATACGCAAAATCAGGAGACACACTGGCTGAAGAAAATACACCGTGCGAATCACGCGGACAATTTATGAATAAAACTTGATAAAACCGTGTTATCGATGTTTGCGTAATTTTTAAGTGTGGGCGTTTCGAACAGCACTCATTGATCGTACCTACCATTCGCATCGGCATTGATACGGCATTGTTTTCTGTGTCGTGCACCCACCGCAAATTCAATCGATCGGGAACGGGAACATCGACAATTGGCCGCAATTGTATCGATCGGGGCCAATATGACATCGTTCGATCAGCAATTTCATTGCCCGACGGAAAAATCTGTCGTGGATTTCATTGATCCATTTCATGCTTTGATGCGTCCGCAATATGAGAAGGTCAAATTTATCGTGTAAAACATAATGGCATACGTACATCGTGCACATCTATCTTTAAAAACATTATCTATTTTAAATAAAAATGAACTTTCACAGTAACGCTTTAAGTATACGAATGAAAATTAAAGATTGATTTATATTTAAATTGATATTAGAATAAAGATTTTTATACATAATGATAATTGAACTAAAAGCATCGTAGACTCGTGAACGTGATAACAACAAAATGTGCCGTTTTTCGTTTATTACTGAGAGAAAAATATGTCAACCGTTTTATCTTTAATCATTATAATCATTATAAATAATAACCGCGAGAATGAGTTAATCGCCAGCCGCGGTAAAAAATCAGTGGATATTCGACAAAATATTTTGAATTCAAGCGATGACCTAACGTCGACCTGACCACTTGATTGAGTCTTTTCTTACAGCTTGAGATATCCCGCCGTACGAGAGAAATACGGAAAGTTTTGCAACACGTGCACTGCCGAGTTTATTTTTAGAATATTTTTGATACATGTGTATATATGTATGTACGTGACTTTCGCATTATCTTGCGTGGGCGTAGCAATTCTACCGCTGATAAGTGACTTTGTATTTCGCAAGTATTTGTGACAGACGGTATCTGAAATCTTGCGGCTCGTAGCTTCGTAATCGAGCCATTAATCATGCACATGAGCATACAAATAATCATTATAAATAATAATGAAACTCAATGAGTATTTCTTATAAAGAAAAATCATTAGCAATCTGTACTATAATATTAATAATAATTTGAGTGTAAATATGTGCGTAAATTGTAAGGATCTTTCCTTAATTTAAAGTCATTATTTCCTAAACTTATTTTTTAAAGTTTATTATATAGTGCAACTCAAAGCGTGAGAGTAAAGTTTTATAAATAATATATCTTTAATCTTTTTATCTTTTTATTGTTCTAATTTATTCTAGTGATGAGATGAGTTGGTTTAGGAAAACATTAAATAGATAAAATCTTAATTTAAGTACTCGAAGTGTTATTTAATTTCGTAAACAAAATTTGATCTAATTGCATTCGATTTCGTCTGATTGTTTGAAACAACGGTGGAAAATGTCTACTTTTTGCAGTGGCAGAACAAGAAATGGTGAAATACGAGACCGGTAGAGAACAACACAGATGAAAATAATCGGTGCGGCTTAATAAAATTAATATACGGTTCTCGGCGGTTCCTTGCCGTGTTCGTGCGTCAGGAGTCCCAGTCGGAGTCGTAGCATTCGGCAGGCCAACGAGACGTTCGGGACGCTCTTAACTAAGGGTCTACTAACTTTAAATCCGATAATGAATGTAATCAGTGGAAATAACATGGAATCTACGCTGGTCAGACCGCGTCCAGGTATACATTCCCTGACCACAGCGTGACTAATAATTATACTCGGTGAGGGACCCTCGTCTCTCTCTCCTACGCCGTTATCTCTCGCCGAGAGCGAGAGTGGAAGTCGAAAGCCGCAGACGAAACGTAGAAACAATGGTCCCGTGCACTCACGAATCCCCAGAGTACGGAAACTTGTTTTGATCGAATCAGTGTCGTAAATAAGGAACGCGAGTTACCTTCTTGCGTCGAAAGTAGAAGTTGTAGTTTAGTCATTTCTCTACAGATGGATAGAAGAATTGCAAGGGGAAAGCAAACTAACATTTCGTTCCGACGTGATTATCATATTAGTAAACAACAATTATATAACATATTATGTTTTTTCTTCGGACAAAACATAATATTCAATGATCTATACTATATCAAGCAAATAAGATTATACATTGTAATGTTTTTAATTCGCAGAATATAGGAGAGTTTTGGGCATTTGTCTACAAATTGTGCGCCCAATGAATTACACTAATTATAAAATATACCTTTAAAACCACGACGGATTCTGTTTCATAACGCCACCGTCAAATCCGGTATCAATTACGAATGACTTTCAATCGGGCGTATATCGTTCGACCAACATCAATATTACAGGCAGTACGTACAATGGGCACGCGCGCACGAGCGACGTACCTGTCGACCTCGCGACGCCAGCGAGCCGCGAATAACGGTAGTCTTAATTGAATTATTGTTTCAGTTAATGTCGACATTCATCATAAGAGTACACAAACAGTGTCGGAACGGGATGAAGAAAACACGCATCCCGCCCAAGGAGTTGCGGCTCGCTCACAAAAGCGCAGAGCATTCATCTTCTGTCGTGTATGTCATGAACCGCGACACGATGGCCGCTCTTTCCTTTCTCTCTTCTCTCTCTTCTTTGCAATCATATCTTTGCAAAGATAAAAATGAATTTACACGACGTTCTTATTGTAAAAATTAATTTCTTGCAGTTTGCTTTGCGCATTGATCCTCCAACAATTGTTTCAATTTACTTACTGATAATTATCTCTGTTATTTCAAAGTGTCAATACAATACAACACAAAAAAGCCGTTAAAATTGCACTAGATTATATTGTATAATCCGGATACCATATCTCATTACAATTTTGCATTCTTTGTTTTAAACGGTTTATTTTAGGAATTTTGTGGTGAGAACATTATGTTCAGATCTAACGGCGACGATACAACGGAAGTGGGAGGCAAGTGCAAACAGACCCACGCCTCGTTGTTTGGTATTTGCATCACTTGCGGAAACCAGACTGCGTCGATCGCGCGCTGTCGAATAAATGAATTTAGATCCGTATGCTTGCCGAGTGCAGTTTCCATTGCTAGGTCAGACCTGAATTCGCTTAGCAACGCGCGCGCAGTTCATATTTCGGCCAGCGCCGTCGTTGCGAATAACAAACAATCGTTTGGCATCAATTCTCGTCCTATTTTCTACACTTTTAGCCACTACGCATTAGGTATTAACAAGTTTCCATTAAGCGTTTTGCATATTATATATTTCTATTACAATTTCATTTATCTGTTACAGATTTTAAGTGTTTTTATATAGAATTTTATCGAACTCCCCTAATTATAATCAATAATTTTCTGTTGTGGCATTTTTGATTGTGAAAGTAAGTGGCGTTACGAATTGTTTCATTTGTTATCAAGCAAGTAAGAAGAAGGCCTAATATTGTTAGCAAAGCTGTATTCGTCTGGAATATCCTTACATTTTCTCCCTAGACGTTTGTAAGTTCTAGGTCAGCAGGAGCGGGTAACGCGTCGTAGAAGGGAAACAAAAATAAGGCAGAACAAAGAGGGGAAATCGATGCATAAAGACTGTACGGATCGGGTCCCTGCGAGTTTGCATAATTCATTCGGCTGGCCGGCGAATGCATATTACCTCAGGATATCTAGCCGAGTTGAGCAGCGGGATCAGGACGTAAGGACCTCCGTTCTGAATATGAGGTCGAATCGCCGAATCGTCTGGAGATAGTTCAACATCGATAACCGCTGCCGATCGTTGCGGCGTTTCGACGAGGATCCAAATTCAGGATTTAACAGGATCAGCTACGCGTGTGTGTTCCTAAAAGAATATATTGTAAGTGAGGATACTGGGCTGCTTGACTATGGAATCATATCATAGGGAAGCGATAACTTTATTTCAAGGATTTGAAGATTTTATTGAGATTCACATTTATTTGCAATATCATTTTTTGAAATTGCTGCAGATTTTTGTTTTTTATACGAATAACTTTCATAGCTATGTCCCTAGAACATATATTTCTAAAGACTACTAACTCGATACTTTTTGACAGCTATTAAAAATTTATGATGAACAAATGTTAGTGAAAAGTAATATTTGATCTCGAAATATTTCATATGAAACGTTAAGCTATCCGTTGAAGCGTTTAGCGGCGATTTCCGTGTCATCTAAGCATGCGACATCCTGATTGCATCTGCTCCACCTGTCTATCGATTTTTCCGGAAGCGTCATCGGGGCGGGCTCCTCACGGCGGAAGGTGCGTGCCCATATGGGTGGACCGGATCTCTCCCTCGTTTCTTCGCCCTCGTCTCTTACACCTCGAGGAAGCCACCCCAGGCGAACCGGAATCAAGTTCAATTGTCTCGCGGTGGCTTTTGGACGCGTGAGAAATTTGCGAGCAGCTGTTCCGCCGGGGGTTGCTCGCTCCTCGCAGTAACGTGACGTCACGTCACGTTTTTACTTGTCGCTTACTTGGTCAAACGAGGAGAACGAAAACATAAGCGAGATGAAGGAGAGAGAGAGGGAGGAAGGGGGAGACGGTATTGCATGCGCCGCGCGCATGCAAATTAGAGACGTTCGCGTCTCGAAGGGGTTAGATTAAGGGTTCAAGCGACCCTGAGGGTCGCCGAAATACTGGCTAGGCCTCCTCTGCGAGGAAACAGGGAGTTTCTCGATATCGTCTTTCGAAAATCTCGCCGTGCTTTATTTCTGTGCCTTTCCCACGACCGCCCTCCGCTACTCGCACCGGCATTTTAATTAGGTCCACCGTTGCTGCCCTGAGTAATGTTTTGGTAACAATGTGATTGTGATCTGCTCGTCCTGAAGCTGATTGTACGTTACGTATACAATTATGTTTTCCTTCCGTTTAGGCCTAACGTAATTGTGTCGAGGGAATAAAGGGTGAGGTGATTGGTAGTAACGAGATTTTTGTTATGTGCTTAGACAACCTTTATTACATTTATCGTACCCATTTGTTACACTAATTGATAACGCTTTCGCGGTTACGGATTCTGTTTCTTTCGAGGTTCGTTTTATGTTATTTTATCTAGTGATCAAGTTTCATGGGAGAAATTTATTAGAGTTTACAATAGAAATTACATTTCTTTTACATTTTCAATTGCTCTTGTTTGACTGCCGACTTAATTTGCGACTCGCAATGCGAAATCTTTCAATCAGCCGTGCCCGCGTATGCGAATACGAGCGACGTATAACGTTTGCTGATTGCAAGCGAGAGTAAATCGGTGCTAGCCAGAGGCAGAAGCCCTCCCGCACAAAGATAATGCCGCGTACTCCGTCTTCATTCTTCTCGTTCTCGTCGTCGTCGTCATCGTCATCGTCGTCGTCGTCTTGGTGGCATTTTGAATTGCAGATAATCGAGCACGATCGACGAGGACGATAATCGGCTACGGCGCTTAGACATGCAGTGACTTATCTTCGGGCAACCGAGGGTTACCTGTCTCGGATACCTTTCCCCGTGCAACTCGGGAGAGTCGACAGGAACGATAAGGATCGTGATGATTCAGAACCTCCTGACCTCGGCCCGTCGCTCCACAATGCAACTCCGAATAAACCGTGCGTATTCGCGCGTACGAGGAACGCGGCACAGGGCGGATGGCTGTCGACGCGACAGGTACGCGGTCCTCGATCCTCGTCGATCGCGGATCGCAAATCACTCGAATGCCGATCGTAATGTGCCTTACACTGTATCTACCGAGCTAACGACCCGCGAGTTACCGAATTCTAACGTCTGATCGGCAGCCATGAGCTTTCGAAAAATCTTTTCGCACATGTCCCCATTTCTCTCATTTATACCTCACGATTCATGCCGATCGTGAATCGCAAATTGATAGAGTGACGATGTCTTCTGTTGTATTTTACATTGAATATTCTATATTGTGACACTATTTGCTAATTTCTTTTAATCATATCCTTTTAATCATAAATTCTTTAGAAACTTTCAAGACAAAAATTCTAATAAAAAAATGTCGAGGCTATAATAGTTTTCAAATAATAAGCGATTACATTTCACAAATGACAGGCCTGAGATTTCACGCGCTCAGGTACGGCGACACGACAAGTGATAAAGGTGTTCCTACGAATATCGCCCATTTTAGCATAGTGACAACTTTCACAATAGATTTAACGATTCATTCTCGAATTAATTGTTCCTCTTGTTATCTTTAACCATTTCTTTTGTTAACTTTGTGTAACGTTTTATTAATAAAAGGGAGGCGTTCACTGTGATGAGCATCTTGATCAGACTGATATCCTTCGATTTAGTCGATCTCCGATATTCTGAGTGAACTTGGAATTTTCAGTTAGATTCAATCTAGTCTCCTGCCTCTCTTTATCCTCAACTTTTCAAAATAACCGGATCATCGTCTTCCCAAATATTTTCTGTCCCGTTAAACGATGACTTTGGTTCTCGCTCGCTCGCGAAACACATAGGAACACTTTTATCACTCGTTATGTCGCCGTGCCTGAGCGGGCGAAATCTCAGACCTGTCATTTGTGAAATATAATGGCTTATTATTTAAAAACTATCATAGCCTCGACATTTTTTTATTAGAATTTTCCTCTTGAAGTTTTCTAAGGAATCTGCGATTAAAAGGATATCCGGTGGTTTTAGTACACCCTGTATAATCGCGATACCAGCGTAAGTTGCAACCATAAAGCAGTTGGAACAGAATTCTCAGGAAAACTGTCCTCTCGTAAAACTTCTCAATATAATCCACCTCCCACAATTGTACAGTTTTTATTCAAAGTTATTTATTTAAATGTTTGTAAATTTCAAGTAATGATCTGAGACAAATACGTGCAGCGAAAGTTTATTCTTCGCGTTGGGATTTGTTCTCATTTTCGAATGTAAAAAATATAACTCTGGCGTATCACGAATAAGCAGCTCCCACGTTGAGGCGCACGGTGCCTCCAGGTGGTAACTGGCGGCCTTTATCCAGTCAGCATCCCCCTCCTCCCGCTGCTCGAGGAACCTAAAGGAACGGTCTCTCTATTGTCGAGGGAGTTATTAACGAGGGGATGACGAGGGGGAAATTTCGGTGCGTATACAGTCCTCGTGTGGGAATTGCGCAAGCTACGCAGGCGCGCCTCAAAGGCAAGACACCTTATTGCTTCCCGCCAAAACACCGTCGGAGAACCTTTAATGTCACGTTCGACCCATGCAGCCGACACGTCATGCGAGGGATCCGCGGATTTAATGTACCGAGGGTGCAGGGTCTGGTATCGTCGAACTTTTCCCGCTAAAATTCCGGCAGGTGGCTTAGCATTCATTATAAAATCGATGAACTGTAAAATCGACGAAAGACAGATGTTTGCACTGAGGATTGGAATTGCAGAGTTCTCAACAAATTTGAAAGACAGTTTGACAATCGGCGCCTAGAATTCTTTCTTTTTAAAATTTTATCTTAAATTTTCACTTTTCAATACGTGCGCATAAGGTTCTAATTTTAGAAATTATGATTTCTTCCTTTTTCGACATTTTACATATTAAGCAAATCAGAAGTAAAATATAATAAAGTAGCGACAGAAGGGATTTATCAATTAATGTACGCCGTTTTTGACAAAATGCATTATTAGGAATTAGTAAAAAGATCAATTCAGCTTTACGAATTCCGGTTGAAAAACAAAATAATTTAAATATTTCCAAAAGTAAAGGTACCGAAATATCGTAATAATATTTTAAGGCACAGTTGCAATTCGCAAGTGTGTTTTTCGATTGTGAGAATTAGATCTGTGGTACAGTAATGTGCGTTACGCGGAGAACGATGACATTTCTCTGGACCGAGCCTATGGGAGGGGAACGAGTATTGTGAAGGAATTTTTCAAGCATCCACTCCCACGTGGGGATATTCGCCGCTACCCCCTACGTTTCCTCGACGGATGCAAGCGCACATGTTCTTATGCACACCGCCCGTTACTCCGGTGCATATTTTTGAAGCACTGCAGGCCTGCGCTCCCTTCCTTCACCCCTCCTTACTTCTTCCCCCTTTTTACGTAGCATACTCTCGTTACGTGAACACGTCACCCTCTTGACCGCGCAAGATGCGAAGGGGACCGTTTACCGTTTAGCTGGGAAAGCTAAGAGTCTCGCCTTCCAAGCGTTCCATCGGTATCATCCGATTGCGTTTTCATGCGTGCCGAAATTCCGGAAAACAAGTCGTGGCATACACCTGGACGCTCTTTTCCAAAGGTCGATGACACCATCAAAATCGTCTTTCAAAATTTCCTGAGCAGACCGAGAGACGTATAAAATTAAACATTA